TTGAGGCCTTTTTTGATGAGACTAGCAGGCATTTCCGTTACATGGAGAGGAAAACTATGAATACCACCCACGGACGGCAAGGGGACTCTAACCCATAATCCGCTTACCTCTGAGGATATTTTACGTCAGCACTGTGGTCGGTGCTAGCTGACCTTCTTTTTCTATTGCTGACATAATTTGTAATTCCGAATAAAGTCTTTCGAAGATCAATACGTTCACAATTGTCTTTATATTCTTCGATAGTCGAGGTACCGCCGTAAGGAGTTTGATGATTGAATTCCATAGCCGCAAAAAATTAAGAACCACGATCCTAAAGTATCCTTGCGAGCTAATAATAGTTAAAACTAAACTCAGCGGCGCGACAGCCCTAGAGGACCAAGGCCTACTGTGCCCATCTCACTTTTCTTGACCTTGGGCTCTGGGGTGCAGGAGCAGATGTTCCGGTCAGGTGGTCAGGTCATAACCACTAGTAGGTGTTGGTCAGGTTCACAAGCATGCTTGGTACTCATTTATCGACCCACTGAAGGGATGAAAGGTTGAGTCAACCTTGCCCGGTCCGAGGATCGAACCAAGGACCTGTGACACGACAGCGCGAACCACCGGACGTCGCTAATAATAGTTGCTAGGAGACAAATCTGGAGAATACGGTAGGTAGAGTATCAATTAAGATCTAAATCCATGGCGTTGTGTCACCGTAAGAATAGAAACATCAACAAACTATTGTTTTTCTTCAGGAGGAATGAATTACCACAGCCCAATTGAAAAAAATTTTATTCTTGCAAAATATTACAACATTCTTATTTTTAAGGTGATAAAATACTTCCTATAATTTCACTTTACACACATATTACAATTTTAAGGATTTTTTGGGGAGAGGGGGCTGATGCAGCCAGCTCATTCTAAAGCCCTGAGCATTCAGCATCATATAGTATACTTACGATCCCGTTACGCTTAACAAACCACCACCATATTTCAAAAGCAGCTGGTACCTTATAACATTTTTCGAGCCATTTCTGATCATTTCAAACCATTTTTTCCTTGAAAAAAGTGGTAATCAACTCACGAATATCGATTTTATCCGTTATTCTTTCTCTATATCTCATTTAAACTCGAAACTGAAGTAATACTTCGATATCTTAATAAAATATCGTCGAAAGGTATAAAACCGTTATGTAAATCTGCCAAAATTGTTAGAAAAATTTTGAGTAAAAAAATTAACAGTTTTAATTCCAACTGTTAACATTATTCTGATATTTACACTAGCCCCTCTCCGCTTCCTTATTTCTTTAAAAAATTTGAAGGTAAAGAACTCGAGTAGAAATGTTCTCTTTTTAAGAGAAAATTTTTTTTGTTGTTTTTTAAATAAAGCGAAAAACAAATCACAAAAAAAATTATTAAAAAATAAAATAAAAGGGCAATAATTAATAACAAATTAAGTAAATATACCGATAAATAACGTTTAAAAAAAAAAGAAAGAATATAAAAAAAATTCCTGAAAGGAGAAAAAAAATGAACAGCAGAAAAGGAAAACATTTTTCAATGTAGTGATGTTATTTTTTGTTCTGTTGTTAAATTTATGATTGTTGTATGCTTTTTCTGTTGATTGTTACCTAATTCGCATAACTAGAGTGTTATTTTAATCTTATTTCTGGTGCCCTTATAAACTCCAGAAGACATCGCAGTAAACAAAAATAGTGCAGCCATCTGTTATCAAAAATAAACAATTCAAATTAAGGTGAGGCTGTTCTTTGATAACTGATGCTGACATCTATAATCGCCTGGAAACATTAAATATTTATTTATAAGTTCAAATTTATCAGTTCAATATTTATTTATAAGTTCATTCATTTATAAGTTCTACATCTATTTAAATAGATGCATCTGAATTTATCTTTAATCTGTTAAAAATACAAAAAAATTTAATAAACGATGAAACCTCATTTATGTAATTATAAATTATATACTCAGACATTCTATAATTTTATTATATATATTACCTTCGTTTAAAATTTTGAAAACACAATTAGAAATGTTTTTTTCGAAATTTATTTCTCTCTCTACGAAAATTTATTTCCCTCCCTGCGATATATTGTACTTCTTGTAAATAATACGAATTCAGTTTTTTTCTTTTTTTTCTTTAAAAGATTATCTTCCTCTAGATCTAAATTATAAGTTAATTCACCTTCTAGTGTTTGTGAAATAAATTTATAAGAATTATTATTAATTTATAACCGAATTTAGATAGGTACTTATATTTTCTTCTCAATAATATTCAAAATTATGAATAAATAAATAAATGAATCTGCACAAATGAATCTGCACAAAAGAAAAGAAAAAGTAGATTTTTCAATAGGACTCTGTTTATAATCTTATTTTATTTTTTAATAAACTCTTTATTTTACTCTACTCTATTACTCCTTATACTCTTTATTTATTATGGTTATTTTTTAAAAATGACTGAAACTACATTCCTTGAAGTGTAAGAAATGTAAAAGCGATAGCTCATCTAACTTAGCAACTCCTCAAGAGCATCTAGGCTAGGACAGNAAAGTTTTCATAATCATTTGCAATTAATAAGCTATTCCAATTAATATCATAAAAAGAGATTAACGTAATATTAATATATGCAACACTTTTTCTTGCCCTTTCAGTGGTTCAATTCGACTCTATATTAATAAATTCAAAGATTTAGTTGACCCACTTTTAACTACATGAGAAACGCCATATTGTTTGCTCCGTTCGAAACTTTGTTTGGAACGGGGAGAGCTAGTGACGTCGTTGATGACGTAGGACTAACTAGACTAACTAACGTAGGACTAGAAAACTCCCCGTCTCGCCAAAGTACTCTTCCCCCTGTTTTTGAAGGGTGAGAGAAGGGTGCCCCAATAGAATAGCAGGGCTGGTTCACTCCTTTGAAGAAACTCTCGCCGCATCAAACCTCCGATTTTCGCCTGTGACGTAACGGTGGCGCAAAGCTTGAACTTTTACTTCAAGAACGGAGCTTTCGATCTAACAAGCTCTAACTTAAACACTTGTTAATTGCAGGTAAGCTACCTAATCTTTTGTCAAAAGTATGTACAGAAATAAAAAAAAAATCAGAAATAGGTTGTTATTTAACTGCGGAATTGTTAGAAAAAGCGTCTCAAAAATACACAACAAAAAATATAGTTGCCGAAAATAATGATATTCTAGACAACATTGACGATATAATGCATGACTAAACTAACTCCATTCCTATGTCTTGGGATATTGATCTTAATTTGGGAAACAAAACGATCAATTCACCCGGACTAAATTATATTGCTGGTTACAAAGCATTTCGTCTTAAAAATATTGATTCAAAATTAGGAGTACCATCTTCTCAGTTCATCCAACAACAGGGAAGCAATACGGAATGGATAAATCTCTTATCTAAGGTCGGATTAATTATTCCATCAGCAGCATGGATGGAAGTGTGTCTGTAATTTGAGAACTGTGGTGATATTTATTAACATCTTGTTTTAACTGTAACTGTGCTTGATTTCAATTGTTTTACTATTTATGTTTATAAGTACGTAGTCCTCAGCGGCTAGCCTAATTTTGCTAATTAAAGCTTTATTAAGTTATTATGTCTGCCTAAATTGATTATCACAACAATTTAATTAGCAAAATTATATTCTGATAAATATGAGTACTGGTATTCATCGTCATGGAAAATTTTCTGAAACCGGAACGTTTCGACTTCGACCCCACGTGTGCTAACGCTGAAAATAAGTGGCTACATTGGAAGAAAACTTTCGAAAACTTTTTGTCAAAGGTGCCTAATCTTGCTGAAGATAATAAACTCCCACTCCTAATTAATTATGTATCAGCNTCGTAGTAATAAGTATCAGCCCATGGTTCAAGAAGTGGAGCTGTTGGAGGCTAATCCGGGATATGCTCATGTCAGGTTACCTGACGGCAGGGAAACTACTGTTAATGTCCGTCACCTGGCTCCTAGAGGGTTACTTCCTGAAAAGGCCCTTGATGCAGATATGCTAGCAACCCCTCTACTAAAAACCCCACTTGCTGACAGCTCCCACGAGGCTACTGATGATCAACTTTTGGAATCCTCACTTGATGAGACCTGTTCTTCGGAAAACACTGACTCATTTTTGAGACCAAAACAGGAAGAGACTTTGCCTCCTACTACATCCAGAATACGAAGACCACCTGCTTATCTTTCAGACTTTGTTACTGACTGATTCAAGTCACTCCCTGAACTCTTAAAATAACTCTGGGTGAATGTGGTGATATTTATTAACATCTTGTTTTAACTGTAACTGTGCTTGATTTCAATTGTTTTACTATTTATGTTTATATGTACGTAGTCCTCAGCGGCTAGCCTAATTTTGCTAATTAAAGCTTTATTAAGTTATTATGTCTGCCTAAATTGATTATCACAACAAGAACATTTTTCAAAGTGTGCATGGGACATCTTACAAAAACCCAATAAGTATCATCAAAGAACTTATAAAGGAATTCGAGGGACGATATCCCGCAGTGAATAAAACAGCGTGAGAGATGGATGTGTTTTAGGATAGAACTGAATGACCCCTAAGTCGATATACGCAAGCGTGACATTAGAAGCGAGACAGTATATTTTTACACGCTGAATTTAATGAGACTACCAGACAATAGGACAAATACTGGTTTTATATTCAAAACTACAATGTTTGACTAGTACATATTTACGCATCTGACATTTTTATCTAGATTAATAAAGACTTGCTTTTCGTGTATTTTTTTTTTTCATGCTGAAAGGAGTGAAACCAAATGCAAGTCAATGCGACGAACAGTTTAGACGATTCAAGGGTTTTTGATGCGTAAAAAAATATTATTTTCGTCTTCTAATTTTACACATATGACATAGTGATCTAATTTCTATCTTGGCAAGTAAGGGATTTTTCTTTACTTAATATTTTATGCTGAGATGACGAAGATCAAAGACAAATCGGTAAATTAAATAGATAGAACTTATAATGGCTTTGATCATTCAAAGTACAAGTCAAAAGTAGTAAAAAATGGTATTTTTTGTACATAACAACCTTTATAAATTCCGAACTATTTGTTTGATTTCCCGTGATTGGAATCATTCGATTCACCATTAAGGGTCTACATGGGAAACGATACCTTATTAGTCTAGATAACAATGTAAACTGTGTAAATTGAAAAAATTGCAAATAGTAATTTTTATACATTAAAAACCTTACATCTACTGAATTATTTGCCCTTTTTACTTGTGTTTGGTTTTATTATATTCAGCATGAAAAATTCCAAGGAAGCAATTCTACACTTGGCTGAATCGAAACATCAGACGCGTCAACGGGTAAAAAACAAACATTGTACTTTTTGTATGCAAAACCATTATAACTGCTGAAGTATTTATCCTATCGTTTCGAACTCTGTTTCCTTGGATTCAACGTAAAAAAAATACATGTCAAACAATGCCTCACTTACAAGAATAGAAAATATTCTATTCTTCTCCACCCTCAACCCCAAAGAAAAGAGGAAAGCATACAGGGGAGCGTAGGAAAGTTTTCAAATATCATTTATAAGAATAGAATAATATCTGTAAAAAAAACACATGTATTAATTTATACATAATACAGCAATAAGGACCCTGTTGTTGTGTAGTTCCTAACGTTACTAGTGTAGTGCTATNTTCCTTTTACCGTAATTTTGGAAAGAAATTTTTAACAGTGTAAGAAAAAGTTCAATACTGCTGCACCACACGTTTCAGTAGCTACTAACTAGAATCATATTTTAATTTCAGATGAAAAACCAGCCGTCTCGTAAACCAGAATCCACTTTTGTATTTGGAAATTATTATAACATTGCCTATTGATGAATTTTTCTTATTTAAAATATTAGTATAATAGGCCATTAAAATAAGAGAAAGTAGGTTTTAAAAAATTAGCTGAGTTAAAATTGGATACAATGGTAGTCTGATCTTAAAGTAACTCATTAAAAAGCACAGTTTAAAGATTTTAAAGTCTGAACTATTTATATGAATCGATGGCTATATACAGCGAAGCTTGTTAAGTTGACCACATCTGAATGTTAATCAATTGTCTAAGTTAATATCATGTTGAGTTATTAATCATGTACCCACCATTCTAATAAAAATAATTGAAATCCGCAATTTATAAGTCAATCGCTTTCCTAAGTGGACCATCAAATTGTTGTTAGTGTGTTGTCTAGTGGACCATCTAAATGCACAAGTTTCCCTATATCAGCATTACCATCAACGCAGTTAAGTTGTCTTTATAGTCCAAGTGAATGTGTTTTAATTTAATAGCTTTATGTGCGACTTACACTGCTGCACTAGGGCAGTAGTTAATAAATAGTAGTTTTAACTTTATTCCTGGTTTAAAAAGTTAATTTATTTCAGGACACTTCAAAAAAAGAGACACAACAGGATGGACAAGATGGACAGATTGGGACTGTCCGGTTACTTGTGGCGGAGGAACGGCAAGACGCATCAGGCAATGCATTGATCGTAAATCAGGTTGTGAAGGCCCAAGTTTAGAAACGCAACCTTGTGCCGAAACACCTTGCCCTGAAGGCACACCACCAGAACTTCTCAAAATGGCAAACAGACAAATTGAATTGGACTCTCGCAGTTACCAGGTAATACTGCATAAGCGATCCAGGGATATACATCCCTAAGGGCCATTCTCACTGGATGCGATTTTTCGTACGCGAATGAGAATACGCGAAATTGAATTGGACTCTCGCGGAAACCTTCGAATGGCCCTTAGGGATATGCATTCCTAAGGGCCATTCTCACTGGATGCGATTTTTCGTACGCGAATGAGAACCTGATTGGCTAATTTTTCGCGAGTAAAAATATTCCACCAATCAGGCTGTCAAAAGCAAGAAAAAGTTGTTGTTGTTATTGTTGTTAATTTACGTCGCACTAGAGCTGCACAATGGGCTATTGGCGACGGTCTGTGAAACATCCCGGAGGATGATCCGAAGACATGCCATCACAATTTTGATCTTCTGCAGAGGGGATGGCACCCCCGCTTCGGTAGCCCGACGACATGCGCGCGAAGTCGAGCACTTTGCGATAGCACAGTTTAACGAGGACCAATACCGCACAACCTCGGTCCCTACACAGACTGATCCAAGTGGTCACCCACCCGCACACTGACCACAGCCAGTGATGCTTGACTTCGGTGATCTGCTGGGAACCGTGTCTTAACGATCAGTTCACTGCGGGACCTGTCAAAAAAACAAGAAAAAGTTTTTAAGATATTCGACTCATTTCCTCAATCTCAGTAATTGAAAAATTTGACTAATGGACAAAATTTAAAGATTTCTAAAGCAATAGAATTGAAAAGCATTACAAAAGAGTTCTCTAAAAATTGTTTGCGAAACCTTAACAACTGAGTACAGAAGTGCTATTTCGCTCTAGAGGTTACTTCAAAAAATGTTAAATAGGTGTATAGAATTCAAATAATATTTTCAGCTGTAATTACATAATCCTACATAATATTAAAAATCTCATCCTATTTTCTTAGGAAGATTAATCGAATGTTGGTTGTAAAAACATAAACAAATTTGCCTATTTTTGGTATGTAATGTTACATGAAGAGTGGCGATGAAGTTGAAAATAGGTATCTGTAAATAATTTTCTTAATAATAATCTTTACGTAAATATAATTACTGTTAGCATACTAATATTAACTATATATAATCAAATTAGAATAAGCAATATGTACTAGCTAACAAGCACGAGATTAGTTCTCATTAGAGCACCTAAATGGTCGTGCCTTTATTTACAGTGAATAAACGAAAAGGTAAAAATTTGGTGATATTATTAAGATTCCAATAACTTGATAGATAGCGAAGTAAGGTTATTTTTCACTCAATAGCGGTAGACAGAGAAATTGGGCCAAATATGGCGGCTATGAGTCAGCTTCCCTTCATAAAAGATCTAACTCTCAGTGTAGTCAAAAGATTCAACTCCTTTGATTGAAAAATATTTGCATTAACAGGAAAAGGGGCATCGTTGGAGGGGGAGGAACGGTGGACATAAGCACCCACAAATAATTAGAAATTTGTGATAGTCTCCCTCAATATGACAGACAAATAAAGAAAATTTTCATGAACATTTTTCGAATAAAATTCATCAAATTCAAAATCAAGAAAGAAATAAAATAAAAAAATATTTAGCATAAGTAAGATTTTTTTTTCTTATATTAGGAATCTATTGTAACTGTATATTTAAATTTCGTTTCCCTCAAAAATTGGGCCCCTGTGGTGCCAATGGTTTATAGTACTGCATAATAATGTATATCAACTTCTGATAATTGCATTTTGTATTTTAAATAAATACAGACATGTTTTTACTGATTAATGCAGGTATTAATTGAAAATTTTGTTTTATTGATTTTTTTTTTCAGGTGCAGAAAGGTGATAAGGTGACTTTGGATTGCCAAGGCTCTTTAAGAAGTCATATAAGTTCATATTACAGGAATGCAAAGTCACTCTGGCATCATAATAAAAATATCTATAAGCCCGACGAGCAACGAACCGGTATAATGCACGATACTAAGAATATGGTGATTGCGGAAGCATCACCCGAAGATAATGGTGTATGGTATTGTGAGGTCCAACTGAATCCTAACGCACCTTTATTTACAGCTGTATACACACTGGCCGTTGAGAATGATGAAGCAGATGTGGAAGTGGCTGAGGGAGAATCCTTCACCCTGCCATGCAAAGCTGAAAGGCTGTCCAAATTCTTTAAAGCAAAAATGGCCATTCAGTGGTATCATAACACACAATTACGCAAACAATTTAGAGATGCAAATCCGGTGGATGTTTCTGAGTTGGTGATTGACGAAAGTTCTCCAGAAGATAATGGTGTATGGGTTTGCAAAGTAATTGAACAGGACATTGATTTACAGAGGGCTTCAAAAGAATGGACAACAAATGCGATCCTCGTTAGAGTTTTAGATAGCAAATCTGCTGGTGCAGCACAAAGCACCGAATATGAAAATACGTCCCAAACAGTGGTATTAGTCATCATTGTTTGTATAATCGTGTCACTTATACTTGTAGGGGGATTATATTATTTTTTTAGAATTCGAAAAAAATCTTCTAAGGATAAGTCACAAGACGCTGAGAGAGGTGGATCTGGCAAGAAATCTCGGAAGAAAAAGAGAAAAGATAAGGTCAAAGAAATGAGAGAAACAAGAACCAAACCAAAGAAAAAGAAGACTCTTAACCCTAAAAAGAAAGGTGGAAGTAATAAATCAGGAAGAAAAAGGAAAGAAAAATCTCATAGGCACAGAAAAAATATCGAATCTGATGAAGACTACTGAAAATAGATGAAAATAATAAATTCTTTTCTATTCTTTTAATTTTTTCTTTTTATGAGAATTTTTACATGCATCATTTTAAATTTTTGATTTTTGTGAAAAAAAAAAACTTTTTTCCCTCTTAATAGTAACCTTTTTATCTTTTCTTGATAAACTCAATTGATAGTCACTGAAAATGAAAATTTGAAATATTACTCACTTTCTTTATGAAATACATATAAAATATAATGAAATACTTTATTTTAGTAATATGTTATCATAAGTATGTGATATGTTATCATATTCTAGTAATATGAGTCATAAAGTTAAAGTTAAGTCATAGAGTTAAAGTGATTTCTCCAATTAATTTAATTTTTATTTCAGAAAAGGAGAGGGGTTCGATAATCACCACCCTTTGCACATATTTTTCAAAATAAATGGGTAGATGGGTGCGTTAAGAACACACCCGACAAAACAAACTTCAGGGTGTTCAAATAATACTGATGCAACAAATTATTCTATTTTTTATTTCGATCGTATTCTGAAAATCTTGTTATTTGTAACAGTATCGGTGAAGCGAAAAAATAAAATAAGATAATATTCTTNTCCAGATGCCTACACAAGGAGGCTACAGAGTACCATGGAAAAGGTAAAGCCCACTCCTACCTCCAGACATGGAGTCCAGAGGAATGTCTATGTCCCTCAGAACCTTGCCACCTGCAGCCACATTTTCCTCCGGCACGACGCCCAGCGGAAGCCTTTGCAACCGGTGTACGATGGTCCCTTCCTGGTTCTAAAAAGACTAGATAAATTCTTCACCATTTCCGTGAAAGGTAAAACAAAGACTGTCAGTATCGATAGAGTGAAGCCTGCTTACCTCCTCAACCAGGACTTTTTAGACAACGAGACCTTTCCACTACCCGAGGAGAACCTAGACCTGACTATTCCCAAGCCTGTAACCAAACGTGTCACATTTGCACCTCCTACAAATCCCACCCGGAAGACACGTGCGGGCCGAATAGTAAAAAGACCACAGAGACTAGACTTGTGACAGCGACTCCGTCGTTTAGAGGGAGGCTCCTGTAGCGACTAGTATCAACCACCATCAACAGATGGCGATACCAAGGAGTGTGACGTCATTCCTTTTCCTCACCTCTACCAGGGGGAACGCCACTATTCATTCCTGCCCGAGCACCTGACGATGGCGGATCTCAACGATCAGCTCTGACGCTAGAGACTCTCGCTATTTCCTTCGCGTGATTTCTGAAGCTGTATTACAATTATGTTTAACTACACTGTAGTTACTTATATTCATTAAATCTGTTATATGTTTAATATCATCGTTTGAATGGACTATCATTCTCCAGCATAAATGAACACACGCGCTAAACCAGAAACTAGTACAAACACATTCAATCTAGAGTTCTATTTAGAGTTGAATATCGATTTCATTTCTTTCTTTTAAGAAAACGAGGATGCAATTTTAGTGTTATAAAAGCACACTTTAAAAAATATATTTCACTCCGTAAAAACTTTGAATTTTTAAGACTTCAATACTTTCTTTTCAAGTCATTCTTTAAAGTTGTGCCTTACTCCTCTTATTTCAGCTGTAACTCCATCCAAAAAGAAAAACTTTTTTCTTAAATGCCCAAATCTTTAATGCTTCAAGATACAGTTTAAAATATTTTACGAATTTGAACCAAAAAACCTAATTTTTAGGATGCAAATATTTTCTATGAGGGTCCTTCCTTAAAAAGGAATTCCACGCTTTGAATTCGAATTTATTCCTTTTTTATATATAAAAAAAGAGTTCTTTCATTAAAATAATATTAAACTTTTAATATTGAAAAGGATAACTTTTAATCGTGGATAATCAGACTCACATTGTGAAGACCAATATTCTTGAAACATAAATAATTTTTACATTTTAAATCTTTAAAATAGCGCAGCACAATTAGGCTCGACGTTTATCGTTTTCCAAAAAGAGCAGCTGAAAAGCAAGGATCTTTTTTTCTAAGTTTTTTAATACGTGTCGTAACTTTAAATGATGCAAAGAACACTTTAGAAATAAATTTAACAAATTCGTTTCGCAAAATCTATATATTTAGAACATATATATTTTCTATATACTTCAGCTCTCAATGTATTTATCTTTCGACGCATTTAGTCTGGTGATCTGGAAAAAGTATGACATTTTTTTAAAAGGTGGTGTTCAAATTTAGAAATATAAGTGGGCATTTTTGGGAAATAATAAATAATCATAATTTAGTATGAAATCAGTTTTAAATGTATCAAGTGGTCAAAAAATTACTAAACGTCCCCCTTAATGTTAAGTATTATATACTAACTATACCCAGCAAATTTCGAACAGAAAAAGATTTTTTCTTGGGAAAAGAAGCTTTTTGAGGCAGAAGAGAAGTTTCCGATAAATATTTCAAGATACATATTAGCATATAATATTACGCTGAAATTGTAATTTGAAACCCTTTTCATAATGCTATAACTTTCAACAAAAAAAAAAAAAAAAANAAAAAAAAAAAGACTTACAAATTACCTATATTTTACCACTCCATAAACTTTGCAAGTTTTGGATCGTATAATTTAAAAAAAAAATTGAAAGATTTTTAGACACATATGGGTGTTTATGGGACAAGAAATATCTCACTCATGTTTAAATATGAAACAAATTCCAAATTCATCATACGGCTCAAAATAAATTTGTAAAAAATTCACAAAATGCCCCCTTTCAGGGTAGCACCATATATACTTTGAGCTTTAAATGTTGTGAGCTATAAATAACGTTTTTCTTTGAAAAATTTATGTTAATAATGTTAGGCATGTTTAAGTATATTGGGAGAATATGGCGTCCATATTTTAATTTGAAACAAGTTTCAAATGTATGGCATGATGCAAACATTTATATAAAATTTATCAATTATTTACCACTTAGGTTGGCACAACATGTGTTCCATACTGAGCTAGTTTTGCACAAAAAAAATATTCTTTTCTTCGTATTAAATTCTATACAAATGCTTGAAGTTATACTTATTTTTGGAAAATATGACAAAGAATACTAATATTTTAAAATGACACCCGTTTCAAATGGTTCAAATACATCTCCCGAAGAAAAAATTTATAAAAATTTCCCCTTGGGTTAGCGATATGCGAATTTTTTATGTTTTGGTCTGTAAAAGATCAATTTTTAAAATTTCTTATCGGTATTTTTAATATTGTTATTTTTTGAAATTATGGATTTAAAAGAAAAATATTCAAGAATGGTATTTTTTTTTCGAAAATGTTTTAATAGATTTTGTTTAAAACTTATGTTTGATTCTAAAAATTCTTTATTAGATTGAGTATTTATAGATCTTATAATTTCAAATTTCTCCCCTGACTTTAATTGCAATAAAAAGATCGTTTCCTTGTATTGAATTATTTCATCTTTAGGTACTTAATTTATTTTGAATTAACAGTATAAATTTCGAGAAAATGTTTTCTTCATTTCCAAAGATATCTGAATTTCATGGGCAGAATTTCAAGTATCATACTAAAGAGTCAATCTCATTGCAAATGATTCGCGCAACTGCGATTTCAGCTGACGGAGAGTGAGAAACCTAATTGGTGAAAAAGATACTCTGACAAAACCCTACCCAATCAGAATACTTTTTTCTCGTAGGTGCGTGTATCACATGCAGAAAGAACGATCTCTCTTTTTTTTTCTATTCGATTTTTCTGGAGCATCTATTGACAAGTTGCAAAACGAGACCGAAATATGCTTTCCGGAAGAAAAGGGAGTACTTCTGATTCCATTAAGCATTCTCAAATCCATTATTTATCATATAAATTAGTTTAGTTATTAATTTCAACGCATATTCGAATTTAGCAAACCAATTATTCTGAGTTTTATCGCCATCTAGTAGCTGAAACAAATATTACGCATCACAGTTACGCTAATGATTACATAACTATATGTAACTGTTCAAAGGGAGCCGAATATTTTCTTTTCAATCACACTGGTTGGTGTGTCAACAACGAAATATTTCGTCTGCAAATTTTTTAGAAATTTCAAAGCATTAAGTTCAATGAAAGTAATAAATAGAAGTAAAAGGAATCAGCATATTTTTTGTGAAAATATTTTCTTCCTTCAACTTATTGAGTTTATCCTTAATCGATCTTAGGAATTTCGAAATGATTAAATAATTATTTTTCTTAGTGATTTCATCTCATCAGTTTGGAATAAAAAATATGATCTCCTGAGTCTGATTCACTAAGGTTAGTTCTTATGAATTTGCTATTTATTTTAAAACCTAAATGTCGAGTTGTTTATTATTTTTTCTTATTTTTTAAATTATTCTGAAAAAGAAATGTTTTGTTTTCGCGTCCGCTTAAATTTTAGCTTCTCTGATCCTGTTTCGGACTGAATTTGAGAAATTTGTATATTCCTTGAAATAGTTTTATTACGTAAAATCAAATAAAACACGGTGTGAATTTTTTTTAACTCTATTAAGATCCATATAAATTCCTCTGTGAAGTTTGTTTACTGTTTTTATTTTAGTCTGCGTTTTTAAATTCCTTACTAAAACCTTGTTATGCCTTAAAAATAGATTTTTAACTATTGTAATCGATATTTAATAAAAAAAAATATAATTATCATTAAAATAAATTTATTTTTAAATCTATTAAGTTGTATTCATGTTGAATTCTGAAATTAAAAAAAATTCTTATGTAATTTGTTCTATATTTCTTGTTCTATATCAAATTAAAAAAATTATATTAACAGGGTGCGTAGCGTTTTTAAAAAGTGCTTAAAGGTGCCTATTTTTGATTAACGTTTTTTAAAGCCCTTAAAGGTGCTTTTTTTATTTGGTGTTTGTAAAAAGTGCTTAATTTTTTATCTTTTAAGAAGAGATTTTTTCTTTGCCCTATCAATTGTTGTTCTAAATTGCAAAAAATTCATGATTTTTATAATTTTCTCTGCAATATTTATCAGAGTTATTTTATCATGATTATGTAAAGATTTTGAA